TATTGTCAAAGTAAGTATTCTGTTTATTACGTTCAGGAATTTTGCGACAAAAAAAATAAGCTCTAAACAAATCAGTGATAGATTGACATTTTTTTATATTTTATAATTTTATTTCTATAATGTATATTTATATTTTTATATATTAACGTAATTTTCAACTTGTTTAGTGAATACTCTGTAACATTATTTTTATGCGTGTAATTACATGTATCTGTAATTGTTTACATTTTTTCTAGGGAACTTAGAGTATCTCTTGCCAAGCAACTATTAAAAATATCGCAAGATGAACGTGAATCTTGGCTCAGTCGTATTATAGAACTGATCCTGGCTCAAAACTTGGATGATCCACACATTAAAGCTGAACATATAAAAATTGCTATAGAAGAATGCTTGGAGCCATATAAATTGAAAGATACGGAAACAGTGTTCAATGTTATAAATGGATATAATATACCGAAGATAAAGTATGATATTTCTAAAAAGAAATTTATTATTGACAATGAAAATTTCTACCCTGAAACGCAATATAAATCGTTAGTTTTTCGACATCGCTTCGAAATGGCGTGGTACAAAACTCTGAGGCATAAGCAATTTTTGTCTTCTAAATTTGAGAAACAGCAAACAGATAAGACAAATTTAATACCTATTGAATATCTGTTGAGCGAGTTGAGAATAGGGAATGTATGCGTAATGGGTCTGATAACACAATTAATGGAAGATCAATATTATTTGGAAGATACAAGTGGAACTGTCAAAATAGACCTCAGCAATACAATATCCTTTATGATGTAATACTGGATTTTTAAATATTTAATTTTACTTTAAAATATATTTATTCCAAAATGTATGGAAATGTTTCATATGAACAGTGTGATAAACATTTCCTAACTTGTTTCAAAATACTATCGTATTTCAAAAATATTTCACAAGTACACAGTGATGTATTTCCCAATGCTACTTTTGAAAATATATTCTTAATTGATATCTTAAATGTAACGGTAAGAAAAATAAATTGATAAAATGATTTACTTTGTAATGAGAAATTATGATGTTTCTTCATAATTAATCATACTTTGATAGTATTTTGAAAAACTAGAAAAGAAATAGATTTCCAGATCTGTGTCTTCATATCACATATTTTTGTTCGTTGAACGTTGGCTGATTTTTTTAAGTAATTCTTTAATATAAGATATAAGTATATAAAAATATATATGTGCTAATAAGATATAAGATCTTTAAAATACAGCAATAGCAGTAATATCTTTATAATATGTTATTTTCCTTATTTTATTTATACGATTTTCAAGATACTTTCATCATGGAAGGTTGTATAATAATAGCTAATGGTGTTTACAAGGATGATGTATTACACATAGAAAGTATCAACCTTCCGCCAATAGAATCATCGGAAAGCTTGCGATCAGATTTTGGCGATACAAATACATTTGGTGGACCACATAATATATCTTTGAAAATGTCAGAAAAGTTACAAGTCCACGAGGAGAGCAACCAGGATGGAATGATAGTATTCATAGCAGAATTATGGTTGGATGTTCCACATGTCTTACAAAAATTTAAGACGATACTGAATGGCTACATGGATTATCCTCCCATAGCTTTTGTATTGTGTGGTCATTTCTTAAGTTTCCCTACAAATATAACTAGTGCGCAAGCCTTGATAACGGGTTTTAAAAATTTGGTTGACATAATAATACAATATACAAATTTAAAGGAATCTTCCAAATTTGTTTTTGTACCTGGCCCACATGATTTAGGCTCTCCTAAAATTTTACCGAAACCTCCTTTGCCCAAATGCATTATCGAAGAAGTCACAAAAATGATACCAAATGCTATTTTTACCACGAATCCATGTAGAATACAGTACTGTACAAAGGAAATCGTAATATTAAGAGAAGATATGTTAACAAAGATGTGCAGGAATGCGCTTCGTTTCCCGAAAGAAGAACACTTTTTCAAACATGTAAGTAGTCAGTATATTGATGAACGCTATCAAAGTTGCAACATGTAATAACGTCAATATTAATAAAAAAAATTTCAGTTCGCCAAAGCCATCATCAGCCAATCACACCTGACTCCTGTGCCTCTTCAAGTCGTTCCAGTATATTGGAAATATGACCATGCTTTACAAATATTTCCAACGCCAGATCTCATTGTGATTGCTGACAATTTTGAAACCTACACGACCAATTATTCCGATTGTTATGTGATAAATCCCGGAATGTTCTCAAAAAACAATTTTTCGTTTCAAACTTATGTGCCTGCTACCAACCAGATTCAAGATTGTCAGTTGCCAAGCGACATCAATGTTGCTTGAGTTAAGAAAATGGTTATATGAAAAAATCATGGTAATTTTCTTTGTACATAGACAATGTATAGAGCTACACTAGGTATTAATACATAAGTAACTCTTTTATAATTTAGTATATTTATTTCGCTTTAATAACAAAATCTTGTTTATTTTTACAATATTTTAAAAACCCACCGATAATGGGTCACTTAAATTATAAGTTTTTCGACATTATATAAACGTGAAACAAATTAAGCCCAAAGGACAAAAATAATTTAATCACGAAAAGGATTATTTCTTACATTTAATCCTCCATGTCTAACGATACAGTAGGAAATATTGAGACGTAACTTAGTGAAAATTTCAATTTGTAGGATGGAATATATTTATAATATATCACGAACATAATACCTTTTTTAAACTGTTTGTTTCTCTTGTATCTCCTATATTGGGATGACTACTAGGATGGTGTATCAGACCTGAATAGGACACAGATGGTACGCGCATGCTTATTTTCTTTCCTATCAATCCATATAAATAGGTACATAGAATATTAAACACAGTGTTTCTACCGTTTTGCAATATACATAACATTATACAGGTACAGACTGGGCCCCAATTTAATTTTTTCAATTTATCGCACTGGAAGCATAAGTCACGTACTGGCCGTAATAAACCAAACATGATCTTTATATAAGCGTAAAGAGTCGTTAATTAATGTAATCAATCGTAACATTACAACATAATAATAATACTAACATTATACTTTGTGTGATCCAGTATAATCCTTTAACAACCACAATTGGTTTGACATTTGCTAAAAAAATAATGCATACAGATAGATTGTGGAAGCAAATTTACTTGAAATCAAGGTGTATTAATCGAAATAATAAATTCCTGGAAGAAATTTTTTGTACATTATATTCTATGGTTTCGCTTAAAATATATTTCAAATGCAACATGCTCTAAATATTGTTAATACTTTACATAACGGAAGTTAATGATCGACACAAATATAAGTTTTCTTCAAAACATATAGGAAGCAAATTTGATATTTTAAATATTAGGTTACATGAATTATAGTGCGAACACGTAGAATCTCAGAAATTCGAAATAATATATATATATGCGTAAATTGCAACAACTACACACATTAATTCATCACATATATTACAGTGCCATCTGTAAAAAAAAGTACGTTCTTACGTCTATTGCACTTCCTTGCAAACACGCATAGTCTTCGATAATTTTCTTCGTATGTTATTCAATTCCTCCTGCAAAAATTATCATAATACATAATAATACATAATATTTTATGTACAAGTATAACTTCAGTCCAATCGGACGGCGTAGTCGTCGACTTCTTCACGCTCTGTGTCTCACGAACTATTCTTCGTATGCAGTTCTCCTAAAAGAAATTTATAGCCAAGTTATATCATATTTGTAGTTGTGTTTATAAAATAGATGAGATACAAAGGATCCTCATGCTGTCGATTAAAATTATAATTCTAATTTCTTATTAATACGGAATAATACATAATGCAGATAAAGAAAAAAAAACGTTTTATTCAATTTCTACTTAACGTTGTAAAACACAACGTGATATCGCAAGTTAGCTTCATTATAATCATCATTGATATTTTATGTAAAAATTGTTAGCTGTATTGGGAAAAGAGTAAAGAAAATAGAAAAACATTCTCAATGCAATCGTTTACGCACTTTCCCTTTGATATCTTCGGCAAGCCTGATTCCTCTCTTCGGCGTCGAAGTACCAAAGCGTAATGGCGTATCTCGTCTTGAACGCTGGTTGCACCTCGTGTGGATTTCGCCTGTCCGACCAGAAAAATAATATCCTATCGAACAAAGGTTCTATGTTTGCTACTTGATCGCGCCAGCCTTCAGGAAATATCCTCAAAAGTCCGCCATTCTCCTGTGTACAATAGAAAATACGTAATTATTTACAAATTTTGTCGTTATATTATATTATACACACAACTATTTTATTAGGCTTTATATTATCCTTTGGTCTTAAAAATAACGTATCTACAAGATCTTATTAATATTCTTGATTTTCTCGTCACTGCAAGCATGATGGGCTATAATATCAAAAAGAAAATCACATATTTGTAATCAGAACAGACTATATAGACACGGACCACTATACTATTTTAAATTCCTATAGTTTTAGCTTTAGCATTCAACCAGATGCCTGATATGCTATTTATAAGAACTCAAAAGTTACTTATAATTGATATGTAGATACACACTTTCTTTAAGTACAATCTCGCATATGTGTATCGTAATGTAATGAATATAAAAATAATTAAAAATATATTAATACATATATATAAAATTTCACCTTGACGTCCCAATCCCGATTAAGATAATAAATTGCTGTGATGCACCGTCCGTCTCGGTTAGGATTATCCACATGTTTCACATAATGTGAACCGTGACCGGGATAACAAGCTACCATCGCCTGGAACACAGAAAAAAAAGTTTTTTATTAAAAGAAAGAAGTGTATACTCGGCAAATTATTATAAATTCTGACTGATTCTGTGAAATTCGAAAATACTCGATTATTTGAATGTCTCATCGCGAGTCGATTTTACGCAACATAAGAAAAAGCTATATATTACTGATTTAATCAAACATGAATGATGATGTGAGAACCTGTGTATGAGTCATATACATATGTATAGCATAAAAAAATCAACATTATTTGTTTAAAAAGAAAGCACATGTAGATGACACCGAGCGATAATTGACGACTAGTTGTCATATTTAAATATAAAATTGAAAGATAAGTAACAATTGTTCCATATTAGAAAATTTATAAAAAATATTGTTAGATTTTAATCATAAACTAAACTGAAAAACTATAAATACTTTACATAATTTATATAAGTTAAAAATATAAATAAAAAAACAATTATTCCCAGATAATACGTACTTAAAAAAAGCGCCAATCTAATGGAAGAGAGGGAGGAAACTTAGATATACATTTGTAACACGTTCCGAGTATAGTATCATGTTTATCATTTGTCGTATCGCTTGATGTACGCAATAAGTATAATGCAGTGATCATTAACGGACAAAATATTTCACATTTCTCTTTATCTCGGTAGATTATCGAATGATATGTCACTATACTATATATTACTTACGACGCAATAATTGATTGAGTCAATTCACATCGAAAGCGTATTGCCTTACGTGCGCATTCTCACGTTTTCTGATAACAAAGTTTGCTTATTGCTAATAAGCCGATGATAATGTTGCAAATATTCTTACGTCAGCTCTTTCAGTAAAAAGTTTGAAGAAAAAATACAAGGATATGCTTTTCTAAGCACATTCTTCTGTGCGGATTTTTTAGCCAATTTTGAAAGTATCCTTAGGATGAGAGGAACACCCTAAACGTATTATAATACGCAATGCTTTATTCAATAATTTCTAAATTAAAGGAATGTACAATATTATATTTCTGTTAAGACTGAGTAGATGTTCAAGCGCCTTGACTTTCAAAGACCATTGATCGAAATATCCTTGCAATTTGTTATCATACTATCTCTCACATGAATAATGCATAATTAAAAATATAGACATTTTTCTTCAAAGCTCCATGCGTTACGTTACAGTTATCATTGTAATTTATTTAGTAAAAAGAATGTAAACGAGTTTCTTTTTTTTTATTGGTTATATTTGTTTTGTTATTCGGATAAGATCATTTCTGACTCGAAAATATGCATACACATTCACAGATGGATTAACTCATCTCAAATGTGTATATTGCAAATATTAGCGCGCGCGCGTAAATTATAATACAGCTTCAAAAATGACAGCATATAAAATAAGATATTTAGTAAATTAAACGCGTTAACATGCATACGCGATACGGATGATATACGTGTCCTTGTGTTATTATGAGTAATCGGATATCTAACTAAAAATAGACACTGATAAATCGTACGAAAGGACAATAATAGCGATCACAAATCAAATAATTATTAAACAGGTACCAGTTTAAAATAAACTATTGTACAATACATTCGCGAACAATACGAGAAATATCCTGAACCTATTGACAAAACAAGAAATGTGTGATATTTTTAAGATTCAATAGCATTTACATTCAACTATTACAATGAATACCGCCCGTAGAAACATGAAACTTTCATAAGATAATAGGATATATCCTGAGTATGTATATCAACTTTATATTACATAATTGTTTCGAATTATTCTTTTAATAAAAGTTTACATTTCTTTTTTTCGCTTCATACCTCAATTTTCGTTACAGGACTTCTTAATCTTTCATAAAGATAACGTATGTATAAACCAAAAATGTAAACTATATTGTAATAAAAAAATCTCTCTTTGTGTATTTTATCTTTGCGTCTTCAAATCAAATATACATTTTTGTCTTTAATTATTTACTATGCATATTAAAAATCAATATTCTGTTATGTATTTAGATATATAATTTGTTATTATATTTAAATATCCGACAAAACTTTACTATTACGATCCTTCTCATATTAATAATACGCCGGCAAAAACTGAAATAAGAAATGAATCTTTGGCCAAACAAGTATTTCCTTCTTCGTCGAAACCACTAGACGCCAGTACGCAGTTGACGTTAGGGCGATTGAGCAGCTGGACGGGAGTTTGGGTAGCGTAGCGTAAAGCAAATTTGCTGTATCGCGTCACGTCGGCACTCGGCACAGGCGGCACGCGGCATAAGAGAAGAGAAAGAGGGTGGGAGCCGCGCGCGGCGTACGTGACTGACTGCACTTGGCACGATCCCACTCTCCTCCTTTCGGCGTATAATACTCCCTCGCAGATCTTAACATTTTTGGAGTCCTGACCTTGTCTATCGCGTTCACCTCGGCGTGTCATTCGCGCGACCGAAAATCCTATGTGCTTAGTGCACATCGCATTAACATTTTCTGCTCCATGTAAACGATAATCGAGTACACAAACACGAATACGAAAATAAAGAGAAAGATACATTTTGTAAACTTTTCACCATGTGCAGGACGTTGCTGTTTACTTTTGTTTCACACAAGATAGTAGACCGCACAGTCGTATTATCAGTTATAACTTTTAAAAGTTGAAACCTTCGCGTGCTACGTTAAAACTGCGCGCTATATAATCTGCATAATTTCAAGGAATTATATTACTTAACTTAAGCTAAAATAATATCTATATCATCTTTTATTTCTTTTAAGATTACATACAAACGTGTGGATACTCACTTTCGTTCTTCCAGTGATGGTATAGTTTCCTATTTTCCCGTTATTATGCATTTTATTGGCTTTCATGATGATCGCATCGACCTGTGATATCAACGTGCCAATATTTTCGCACTGCTCTTCTTTTCCATCTAGCCATATTATCTGATCGCCGCGTATCGTCTTTAAGTCATTCGCGCTACCTTTATTGGAAACCAACTGTCCGTCTTGAAATAATCCGGCACTATACATATTTAACACTTCGTTCAACACTTTGAGACCTCTCTCCTTGCCTAAAAACTTGTCCACTACGCATACGCCGTACTTGTCCATATCCCTTATCACATATGGGCAAATTTTGTCTAGAAGTTGCTTGAGATTGCTTTTATTCTTGTGTAGAAAAGGAGGCAGAAGTTCTTCTTCCTGATCCTGTATCTCCGTCAAGTTCTTCATGCCGTTACGATGTTGAGCGGGAGAGCCAAGATCCACGTTGCTTAAACTGTCGAAAATTCTTGAACTCTCTAAAATGGGATTCAAGAGCTCGGCTTGAGCTCCTAGTATAGTGTCTTCCGAACTACCTTCATATGTTATAGGCGATGTCCAGCCATCAACCTTGTTATTTCGCGCACTCTTTGTCTTCCCGCTATTTGACTTCTTCTTAAGATTCTGATTCCCTTTCCGTTCTCGTTGACTCGATCCGTTTTCTTCTCGCGCAACTGAATCTGCAATCAGACCAAGTATACGAAAACTGTCAGTTACATTAAGCTATAACGCAGATAATTACAAGGTGCGATAAAAGATAATTATAAGGTTTAGAAGTGTCCTCCGCGAGGACAGAATGTTAGAACGCACACATGGTGGCGTTCGCGAGTATATTTATAATATTTATATCGCGAGTTATCGCGGCGCAACTGGGCGCAACGCGAAACGGGACTCTCTCATTGTCATTACCGAAATCCTCTTGCTACGTAAAATCCGCGCTTGACGACGATGGCGACAGGCGACGTGCCGGCGCGGGCGTCCCGCGCGAAAATGAGAAATCGCGAGCGCACATACCTGCCAAATGCTTCTCGTCTCGACACGGCTCCGAGGTGACGTTCGAGTCCCACGGTGCATCCGAGACCGAGGTCCTGTTTAGGTTAGGAGCCAGCGCACTCGGAACAGTCGAGGCTCGATTATTGCCGATAGGGGGATGCCGCTTGGACGGGATCTCGATCTCGCCGATCTTGCGGTCGGAACGCTCGTTCGCGAGGACGACGGTGGCAGAGGTGGCAGAGAACGGCTCCTCCGTAGACGCGACGGCCACGGGGTGAGTCGCGCAAAATTCCCGGTGACGTTTCCAGTCGCGTCTCTGGTGCTCCTTGGTGCAGTAGAAGACGACTTTGCAACGCGAGCACCTCGACAGCTTGTCGGTCTTGTCGCAAACCGCGCAGATCAGCTCCGCACCCGTTTGTACGCCGTCGCCGAGTGTCTGCGCACGACCGACTATCGGTCCGGACACTCCGGACATGTTTCTACGTTTACTCGAACGCCGCTGCGGCAATTGCCGACGACATTTCTACGACGAAGAAAGTGGAGTGGAGAGTGGAGAGTGGAGGAAAGTCTCACGCGCTCGCGCACCGCGCATGCACAGTGCACACCGCTCCGCACTCCGCTCCCCCGGCGGCCCCGCGCCCTCCTGCGCAGTGCGCAGTCCACTAGTCCACTCCACGCACTCGCCGACTCGCGTCTAGTGACTTTAAATCCTTAAGTGTGTGCAAAGGCATTCCTGAACTCTGGTGTGTTCTTCTTTGCTCGATAAAATATGCAATTTTTACATCATTTGACTTTGAATTTGGCAATTAAATTTCGAATGCGAATATAGATTCGAAGACGAATATCTAGAAATAACAAACTATATTTGGATAATTTATAACAATCGTGTTACACGATTGTAACGATTGCAAAATGGTAAGTTCTAACCTATTTGATATCCATGAAAAAGTTAGCGTACACAAATGTTCTTATTTAGAAAATGGAGCATTTATTTTTTTCTAATCGAGATCTCGCACAAGCAAGATCTTTTTTCCCTTTTCACATTCTCAAGATTAGTGTGTCTATATACTCTGCGATTGTTATATCTGTAAAGACAATACCACGTATTTTGAAGTTGCCTGTCAGATAAGGGAGCAAGGGAAGAATGGCACGTCATGCTTTTTTTTACATTTTTTCAGACAACGTTGAGGCATGACATTGAATTACCAAACAATATTCCAAAGTTATTAATGGAGAAACATGCAAACTATCTCATTTCGTACGGGACCAACAAAGATGAATACGTAAGAATATTTCTCAACTTCTTTTGTGCTATCTTAATTTTTTTGTATGGAAATCAATTATGACAAAAATATATTTTGATATGTACACTTTTAATATTCTATGACATTTCTCTAAGATTGACATATTTACATTTTTTAGAACTATTCTCAGACAGAGCATATGAGGATGTCTGGCATATACTGGGGCCTTACCGCTCTAGATTTAATGGGCAAATTGGAACAAACCAATAAAGAAGAAGTGTTAGAATTTATTGGACAATGTCAAAGTGACAGTGGTGGTATCAGTGCCAGTATACAACACGATCCACATTTACTTTATACACTTAGCGCGGTTCAAATTTTGTGTATGTACGATGCGTTGGATGTAATAAACGTCGATAAAGTCGTGAGTTACGTCAAAGAGAGACAACAGGCAGATGGAAGTTTTGTGGGCGATCAATGGGGTGAGGTCGATGTCCGATTTTCTTTCTGTGCCGTTGCTACTCTGTCACTCTTGGTAAATATCATTGAGAGTATAAATGTACGGTCTATTAGAATAAGATCAAAGTGTTTTAATAACGTTGAAATTTTTTTTTATAAAAATCAATTCTTGAGATCAGATGGATATCTTGGAAGATAATATTTATCCATAAAACGATAAAACACATTTTGGAAAAAGTAAATTCTTGAAAATTTTATTTACAAATCAAAAGAAACTCGTGAAAAAATTTAAGTAAAGTTCTCATATCGTATTAACATATTTCAGAACCGTTTAGACGCGATAGATGTCGAGAAAGCGGTACAATTCGTATTGAAATGTATGAATTTTGATGGAGGATTCGGCTCGAAGCCAGGATCTGAGAGTCACGCGGGTTTAATTTATTGTTGCGTTGGATTGCTTTCAATCACAGGTACTTATATAGAAAAGTTACAGAATATAACAACTACTCTACGAAATATACAAAATATAGAGAAGATATATAGAGTCTACTATCACTTACCAAAATATTTTTCAGGACATCTGCATCTGATAGACGCTGATCGCTTAGGATGGTGGTTATGCGAGAGACAACTACCTTCTGGCGGTTTAAATGGCAGGCCTGAAAAGTTACCAGATGTATGTTACTCTTGGTGGGTGCTATCGGCGTTAACAATTTTGGGTCGTCTTCATTGGATAGATAAAAAAGGCTTGGTAAGTCATTCTTGAAAGACATTTAATGAGATATTAAATTGGATCTGTCTATCATTTCCGTTTCTTCAATTAGTTTATTTCACTGTCCTACATCCTTGACCGACCAAATCAAATAATCACACAAATATTGCTACTAATATATAATTTTTTTTTTTTTTCATTTTCCAGGTTGATTACATTTTAATTTGTCAAGATGTCGAAACTGGCGGTTTCAGTGATCGGCCCGGTGATATGGTTGACCCTTTTCATACTTTGTTCGGCCTCACTGCGTTGTCATTGTTAGACAAGAATTTCTCGTTAAAACCAATAAATCCTACTTATTGTATGCCAGAGTATATAATCGATCGCTTAGGTCTTAAACCATCGCGACTCGACGCGTGATTATATATCTGATACGCTTTATAAATGTACATTAATTCTTTGTTAAATATATGATTGTAGATTTTCCACAAAGTAGATATGAGATTTCATTCGATAATCCCAAATATTCTAACTTTAATGGCGAAATCATAATTATCTTGGAGAGTACTAGCAGAGAGAAGTCTGAGAGAAGGTCTTTTTCATGGGACCGTCGAAAGCCTCTGTACATACATACATTAGCGCCAGTATATCCATTTTCGAAATTGGTATGCGATATTTCAGATATAAAATATTTTTACTATTTTTTACATTTCTATTCGTAAACAAACGTGCGTTGAGCGTTCTCAAATGAGAAGAAATATAACTTACTCTGAGAATAAATTTTGTTACATTTTCTGTCGGTAATTCCTAGATACGATACAGGATCTTTTTATCATCATATGTTAAAGTGGCTGCGAAAATTCAGTTAATTTCAGACAGGTGTCATTAGTTTCACTTGAATGCGATATCAGTAAAAAGATAAGAAAATTTCAACTTTTACTTGAATACAGAGTTATTTTTTTTACCGAGAGATCAAAGTTAAAATTTTTTTAACAAGTTAAATTTTTACTTACGTGAATGTGTTAGTTTGCACTATATTTATTCAAGTTCGAAAAGACTCAATAAATGTTTCAATTACCGTATTAAAATGACTATTTGTAAATTTATAATGTGTAAAAAGAGAAGAAAATAATAAATAAAGCAATTAAATGATAAATATATAAAAATCAAACTAATTGTAAGTGAATTTGATCTTTTCGATGACGCTGTGATTGCTCAACTGAGCTTGCATGATAATTGTCATTCGCTATATTTACTGGACCTAAATATTTCTCAAGAAATAAATTTCAAGAAATCGTTAACATATTGAATACCGACAATTTAACAGCATTTGACTATCTTATTTATGAAAAAGCTATTTGACTTTGTATTTAAAAATCGGATCAAACTTTTGTAATCACTAATACCTATAATGTATCTTGATTTTAAATCCTATCTTTATGTTCCTTACCTAAATATTTGCACATTATGGCCTATTAACAAGTTTGCGTGCCTTGCGTTATTGCAACTCGCGTCGAATGATTCGATCATTTTCATTTCCGCAAAAGCCATATTTATTTTTGATTCGATTGACGATATCATAAAATATTTTCAATGTACATTATTACGTACACTATATTTTATGTACAGTTTTACCGTTTTACATCTTTACGGAATCCGATAATAAAAGTGAAGTGAAACAGATGTTGCGTAACAATAGAAATGTAAAATTATAAATATAAAATAATGGTTAAGTATGCATATACGCGATCATTATTTTTCTCAATCTTTCAATTTTTGACATTACCTACATATATTTTGTTCGGTAACTAAGTCATCAAAATTAAAATTCTATCGAAATATAGCTTTTATTTAAAAAAAAATTAATTTTTTGTTCATTTTTAAATTAAATTTCTGAAAGAAAGATCAGAATACGTTTGTTTGTTTGATATAAAATAACATGTATACTTATTATCAAAGATATTTATGAAAGACAAATATCGTGAAATGATGAAATCGCATGCACATTCGTCTCAAAAGAATTAAAATACTTTGGCATGACACGTTTTGAACATTTGTTGCCGCTGGTCGCTGCTCGCATGGAATTGCCTATTTGTTTAATAGAAATAATCAAGAAGCATTGCTATATGCAGACGTGATGCGTTCCTTCCGTACGAAGACGTACGGTTCTATAGGGAACACGTCTAGTTGAAGTATTAGTGTACATTACGCGCAACGAGAGAATTGCCATTTTGTCGGCGAGGCACGAGGCGTAGCGACACGCCTCTCGCCAGCAAATTCCGTGCGAGGAAAGCGCTTCGATACGATTGGTTTATCTTCTCCCACCCTTTCTTCTCTACCTGGAAGGTTGGCGCGGTCACCGATCGAGAGAGATTAGGTTAGATCTCGTTAACTAGGAAAAGATCGATTCTGACAATGAGTTCTCTCTCGATGAACAGTATACAATTTTGCTAATGGTACTCAGAATCTCAGAAACCAGAAACGCGCCGCGCGCGTATGGTTGAGTGAGACAAAGACAAAAGTGATACGATTTCACTAGTCAGAGTTGAATCTTAAATATTTGAACCACGCGATAATTATACATCACATTTATTTAAGACAAAACTTGACAATTGAAAGAAAAGTTTTTTTTTATGGCTGTACTATCAAAAATTAATCTTTATCCAACTCGAGTCTTTGCGAGTTGATATCTATGTAGGAAGTTCACTTCAAACGTAATTTCAAACGACAACGTCGCGTTTCATTGCAACATGTTATATTTGCTTAATGATACGTAACGACAAGAACGTTGTTGTTTTAGAAAGTTATAAAACAGACATACAGAGATCTTTACAACACACTCGTGGAATTTCTCGTTGAATCGTTAAAGGAATAAAAGAAATACAATTTATATTACCTCTATGTCTTTATTTTATTTTCCATTTCTTTTTTTTTTTGCGTTTAGTATTATAGTCTCATATACCCGTTTAAAAATACAATAACATTAAATAAAGAAATTTACTCCAGAATTCCCAAAGAGAGTTCCAAGCTCCGTTGCCCGGATGGGGTTATCAAATGTTCCGCTGTTCGAGGATTAGACTCGACAAAATTACACTATATAGTTTCAATCCTTGGAACGAAAGCACGCCGCGCGCGGATCGATCCGCGCATTACGAAACGCGCGGAAGACAGAGTTCTCTCTCTTCGTTCTCCTCGCGCTGGCAACGTACCCAAACGTATACCCGGCTACTCGGCTACCTGGCTACCCGCGGCTACTCGATAACCCGGTGGCGTCCGGTGGTGTACGGTATCAGTGGACGCGAGGGCGGCCGCGGGTCGACGAAATTCGATCGGATTGGCCGACACTCGGCTATTCTCGTTCGTTCGAGGGAGGTGACTCGAAGCTCGAAAGCGGTATTCGCGATGGAGCCCCGCCTTTGGGAATCCACTCCAACAGATGAGGGACGGACTTCTCGAGACGCGACAAGTCCCCCGGGCACCGGGGTGGGAGAATCACCGCGCCATTGGACGGAGGTGGTTGCCGGTAGCGCGAGCGAGACCGCCGAGACCGGGCTCACCGGGTTCCAATGCCTCCAATCCGGGACACGGCGGAGCCGTGGGTTTTCGAGTAGGGGAAGCCCGTTGCGGGGGTGTGGGTATGGATCGGCCGCAGTATCCGCGGAGACGCGATCGCGGGTACTCGGTGTGTTTGGGCGTGCTCGGGGGGATCGAGGGTTCGATCAGCGAACGAGCGAACTCGTCGGAGTCGTCGGAGTCGGAACCGCCGCCGCGGCCGCGGACAGTGTCGAAAATCGTTCGGATTGTGATACCGTGAGACAGAGCGTGACATAGGCGTGGGGTACACAGGGTCGAACCTCGCTCGCCTCGGCCGACCGCGGGCGCGGGTCCCCGTGGTTGGGCCCAATGGAAATTTCCGTCTTCGGTCGTGGCCGAGAGCAGCCTACCTCGTGCTCCTGCCGATTCTGCGCGAGGACACCAAGGATGCTGGTGCGTGGGTATCGGCGAACGTCGTGCAAAGCGTCGAGCGTTCGCTGCACGTAAGGGTGTCAGTTTTAGAGGAAGGAGAGAGGAGGGAGGAGGGAGACTGGTCTTCTCGGTATCGCTGATCTCGCCGCTCGACGTCGACGATGCCGCGGCCCTCGCGCGATACCTACGGTGATCAGAAACCGCCGTACTCCTACATATCGCTAACGGCGATGGCGATATGGTCGTCGAGGGACAAGATGCTGCCGCTCGCCGAGATTTACAAATTCATCGCCGATCGCTTCCCGTATTATAGGAAGGACACGCGACGATGGCAAAACTCCTTGAGGCACAACTTATCCTTCAACGATTGCTTCATCAAGGTTAGTCGGTCCATCCACGACTCCGCGGCAGCCGGCAGCTGGTTCCGAGCTCCGAACTCCGAGCTCCGAGCTCCGATCGACGTCCAGCCGGATATCAAACTTCTCGAGTCTCAATCGGCCCGCGGCCGAGCAATATCAAGTTGCCGGGCGGAACATTCCTTGTTCTTTCTATTAAATCTTCTTTCGAATAAAGTTACCAATTTGTAATAATTTGCGTAAGAGGTAACTTGACGAAACGTAAATATACCGAAGCCAAAGATCGCCAGGTCGATTAACGAGAATTAATGATTAACGGGGGATAATATTGTCTCATTTTCGTTGAGTTTTAACGAGTGCACTTGTAAAGTAATATCTTGAATCGCGGTCGTCGCGAACGAAGCGTGATGAAACGGATCTTTGATTGACGTGCGATGTGCCTTTTCAACGTGAATGTCCGGGCTCGCGAAGCGACGACGCAACGCGCAAGGTGCTTGGTCGTTGTATTATCGAGCCATCTGTTTCGCACCTGCCAACGTGTGCGACCGCGCGATCATCGTCATGGCGCGTACCGTTCATCCGCGCCACGGTTCCTCAAAATTACAAAAGAACGCCGACGCGACGGACCCCCTTTCGTCTGTTTCGCTCAAATCTTACAATTAGCTGTCACGGTAAAATCACTTTCAATCTTGCACGCCGCGTGTCACAGGGTGAGACAAACTTGACCACTATTATGGAGATAAAATATTTTGTACGAAAACTTTATCGCATCACAGAGCATCCTTGATGTACGATTCTTATGCACAAAATGTGCATTCAAAGCTTAAGTTTGTACTATTTTTCCTAACTTTCCGTGACGCTTGTTTACAATTTTATATATCATAATCACAAAGAAAAATGTGTTAAATATCAAGAACAGGGCGATAACTAATTATACACAATGACCGATAATATGTCCACGTATACTTTATGTACTTGCCACCAATATTCTTATTAACATAACACGGAATAATACATAATTTAGCTTTGTGATTCATACATCTATTTGCTGCACATATCGTTAATTCAAGAATGTTTTTACTATGATGCTACGCTACGATGTTATAATAAACTAACGCAACGATAAATATTGTAGAATACAATCGATTGTTGAGACTCAACTCTCAACGTTGCTTGATGCAATTTGTGCAGCTTATTGTTAGATTTCTCTAGACTCCTCAGACTATTGCTTAGATTGCCCTTAGTTGTACGCATGTATTAATTTTGTAATTATTATACTGTAGTTATTTCATAGTGCATCTCTTGGAATCCATTAAAAATGTATATTATTTTAAACATCTGGGGAAACTTAAATATACATATACATATATTCAATTATATAAGAATTATGTTTTTTACAAGATTTAAACAATTCCGATTCCGAAACTTATTTATTTATTTTTTTATCACTGCAACTTTCGGTTTTGCGCATACAAAAGTTTGGAGTGAAAATTATACATATAGTATATGTATGATCCATATTTCACCTTTCGCGAATATTCGAAAAATCCAGTCAAGTGAGTCAATTTAAAAATAAGATTGTAATTTGAGAGGCAACACGTTTCTCTTTACTAAAAACTTATAATAAAAATTAAAATTCTATAAACATGATTAATATTATATTCTATCAGTATAGAACGGAAAAAATGCAGAAAAGAATTTTTATCCTTTCTTTTCTCTAAACATTCTATAAAAATAAGCATATATTGTCAGAAATTGAAAATAAAAATTTTAGTTTTAAATTAATCTATTTGAGTCAAGAACAATTTTAAAATAAAGAAGGAGAAAAGCGGGATAGAATATTTGTATCCTTTTCATAGATTAGGAAAAATTTTTTACCCTGTATGGACTTCTGTTTGCACGAATAATAATTACCGTCGCTAGAAAGCGTGAAACTATAAGCGGAAACGATGGAAAGTAATAATGTCTCTGTGAGAAATTTTTGAGAAATTTTATGCCAGAAAAAGCGATAATCGTGGGTTAATTAAAAAACTGATATTATTTACATATAAATACAAGTAGATTAAAACAATTGACAGAGAAAAATTTACTTGTTTGCTTTTCTATGTATTCTTCGGTCAAACAAAGTTCGGTCAAAAGTAATCATTTTCGGTTTTTTTACAAACGTACTCTTGTGTAACGTGATAATAAAATTACGTTTTTTTAATTATCAAATCGACTTTATTCAGAATTGGGATAAAATACAAACGTAGACGTTAAAAGTTGTAAAAAGATGTTCAATTAAATTTTCGGCATAAAATAGCTTCTGTTAGCACGTAGTCAAGTATATTATAGATGAAAAACAATGGATTTCGTTTTAATAGCAAATAAAATCTAATTGTTAGTCTGATCGAGATGATGGACGTGCATCACAATTCTCATTAATTTTTTTAAGCAACATAGGGCAAATTTATTAATTTTTTTTAAGATAAAGTATAATAATTAAGATAAGGTAAAGATCAAGAACTGTATTTTGAATACATTGTCGAAATCACGATGACATTACATTGTAATTGCTGAGTAATTATAATTTTAAATATTTTTATCTATATTCTCTCTATGCAGTATAAATGTACAACTAATCCAAGTGTATTTCTACATATTTCTACATAAGCGTCTTCAAAACGGCAAGAAATGTAAGAAGAGCTTCAGTTAAAATATAACACACTTGGATTTGTGTATACAAGACAGAGAAAGTTTATATAATTTCAATGGTTTAAAGACTTAGATGATTTAAGCATCCTGCACCACAACTTTATTTTGTTTCACAAAATCATAAATGCAAAAGAAACTCGTTGTCGTGTATGGTATTTGAATTTTTCAAATTTGCTCCAGCATTCAAACGTAATCCCTTTTCCACCCCCCCCCCTCGCGAACGCAATTTGAAAATTTAGCTCGCCGCCACGGTAACGATGGATGGAAAGAAATGACGCAAAAGACGCGAATGTGAACGCAGCTCGACCAATCTCGTCTACCTCTCGTCGAGGCGTAGTACTAATAATAGCGGCGGTAATATATTTCCCTTCGCGAGATCTGTCCGGCAACAGGTTATGCCTTTCCGATCGAATTAACTCAACCGATCGGCAGATAATCGTTTCGCGTTATTAAATGTAAAACCTGTTCGTTCCTGGCAAGTAATGGCTCGCCTGGCTCTCTACAGCTCATCAATCGCCGCTAAGACTGCGTCTTATATCGGCCATCGTCGAGGAGACGCGGTGGACGGTGCTAGGCGCCTTTCCACTACGACTACGCGATACGCGATACCGAGAGGGGAAAAACAGGGGCTACTCACCTGAGTGACTGAGTGTGCAATACGAGCGTGCTTTACGAGAATCGCGTAATTGCCTCGGACTGCTCGGACATCGTTGCCAGCGTCGGCAACGCGACGCGACGCAGCGACGACTGGCGTCTTCGGCATCTTCCGTCTCGATCGTTCATCGAGATATCAATTAAGGCGCGACTCTACTCTACTCTATACAAACGTTCTACGCGTATTTATCAAAGAGTGAATTCCGAAGTAGCGCAGACCTAGTTTCAGACCGATTCTGAGTTTTCCAATCGACGCGAACTGAATTGACTGAACTTTCCGTTCCTACAACCTATACTCTCGTACGTCAACGTTCTCGTCTGCACGGATTCGATAAACAAATGTTCGACGTCTTCCAAATCTATCGTGATCCGCCCGTCAAGATCGTTTCTTCCAACTTTCCGTTTTATTGTTTAATGTTTAATTTAATATCGCATAGGTTACGCGTATATTTCATTTATATTAGTCTTGTATATTTCATTTTTCATATGAACAGCTGCAGCTGTTAACTTGCAACTAAGGCTGTCAGACTGAAGGTTATCAGTTTTTTAAATTACGATACACAAATATCTAGATATAATATATACTCTATATGTAAAATCTTTATTTATAGAAAGGAAAATATTTATGACATTTCATGGCCCAAAAGTGCAAATTCGATGCAATGTCAATTTCGTTCATTTTTCGTTGGAAACACGAAGCGAAAAGCTCGCCAAAAATAAACGTTTAAACTCGAGACTGACATAGAATCGATACGATATCCATGTAGTTTGTTATCTATCATCAGTGACAGACAGCTACGTGTTATCTACTATTATAGATATGGATCGATATGGATCGAGCTGCCATTCGATTGTTTATGTATTAGCGAACTTTTCACACTCACAAAGCTTCTAATATCAATTTTTTGACTGCTTGAAGAATTAACGATAAATTAACTAATTTTATTAAATCGGTTTTCTTGTAAAGTATTTCTGACACGGTTTAAAACTACAGTTTTAATATAAAAGCGCAATATCAATGTAGATAATAGATGGCGGTGACGACTGTTATTAGTCATTTATTTTAAGCAATAGATATCGTTGATGTGATCGTAGTTTATCGAGCAAAAATTTCAAGAGGATTATCTATACGATAGTTAGGTATCTTTTAGAAATCTAGAAAATAAGATTGCCCAATTCTATTCAAATTACTCAAACGTATATAGATATGAGATACTTGATTTTCTCGAAACGATATACTTAAAATATGTGGGAGTCAATCGGTGCGGAAGAACTCAGTCATGGAACACTTTGATTCAAATATGACTGCAGGTGATATTTTTCACCGATACTACCATTATTTTTCTTCTAAATCGAATATATTTCACACCTGGTCTTGTGATTCGATACTGTCGCAACTTGATAAACCTGATGACCCGATTTCAGGTACCGCGCGGTCCACATCGGCCGGGAAAGGGAGCCTATTGGGCATTGCATCCCGCCGCATTGTCCATGTTCGAGAACGGTTCGCTCCTCCGACGACGAAAACGCTTTAAACTGCACAAGCCGGACAAGGAGCTGCTCAAGTCCGAGCTGCAGGCGCTCGCCTCGGCGATGCCGCCGCCGTTGCCACCTCCACCGCCGCCGCCGCCGCCACAGCCGCAGCCGCAGCCGCATCCGGAACCAGTCGTGTCGACCGGCGGAATCGTCGACGCGAGCGCAACGTGTCCCAGCAACGGTCTTAGCCTGGCGAATCTCCATCGCTTGCGGGACGACCTGCTTCGATGGGAGATACAGGAGAGGCGAATGATGGTCGCGACTGCCTCGAACCACGGCGACTTCGTCGGCGCGGCTGGCTTCGGCCGGTTCGACGGTGGTACCGCCGGCCTGCCAGCTGGACCAACCGCGCCGGAAGCCGTCACCGCCGGCTACTATCTACTATCACCCGAAGTGAGACAGAGACTCGCGGGTGGTGCTACCGACGGCGGTAACGAGATTCTGAGGACGTACGAGGCCGCCGCGTTGCTGCACTCCGCCGCTTCCTGGAACTTCCCTGGCTTTCCGGCGGTTTCACCGTCGTACGCGGTGACGCAGCTGCCATATATCCAGCAGACTACGGCCAGCAGGCAGGCCATCCATCCGTCGCGGGAGATGCGGGAGATGCGAGAGATGCGGGACGAGCGCCGTTTGTCGAGCGACCGCGCGCTGGAGAACGGACCACCAGTGATCGCCGCTACGACCGGCAGAGAAAGCGAGACGGTCTTCACGGGTGAGAATACTTACGAGATCACGGGCTACACCCGCGACAAACTCACCGAGGAGGAGCCACTCTCGTCGTCCTCGTCCTCGTCCTCGTCGTCTAGAATAAATCTCTATCGAAACGCCGTCCTGACCACCGCTTCATCGCCGCCGACTTCGCCCACCTCGCCGAATTCGCTCGCGTCCAAATCGTCCTATCGTCACCTGTCGCCAATCTCGAGTCTGGCGGTCGAGGTGGAGCGAACTCAGTTGCCCTCCAATCGTGAGGAGGGCCAGGTTGTTCTGACCGCGGCGAACACGGAAAAGAGGGTTAAGAAACCGTTCACTATCGAGAATATCATTGCGCCCGACAACAACGAGGGTAGCGCCGACGGTGGTAGTGGTGGTGGTGGTGTTGGTGTTGGTGTTGGTGTTGGTACTGGTGACGAAGAAACTTCAAGGTTGACTGACGAGCCGATCGCGAAAAAGTCCTCGCTCCTCGTGCCGAGGCCGCTCTACGCCGGGTACTCAATGTCGATCGCAACTACGGGTGTTCAGAGGCCGTCTTACGGCACCGCCACTTGAACTCTGTTCGTTGATCGACTTCTTATCGAAGGGATTAGCCGAACGACGCGAGAGTCCATGATGCGTCTTGAAGACGTCTAAAAGATGTTTTCTCAGAGATTCCAAGCGTGCTTTCGACACCTCTATCGTGTCACCCGGATGTATCTGTGTATGTGTGTGTGTGCGTGCAGTCTGCGTACATACTCCACCTTCACTTATCTAATATTCTGCGGAAAATGAGAGAGATTGGTCCGCGTTACCGTTTACACTGTTTACAGCTATGCTCAAGTCGGAGCACAACATTCGTATATACACGCACGAAGCAGAAAGTCCCGGTTAACGTTAGAGACGTATGAAGAATTCCAATCAGATTCCGTTAGATAAGCGAAGGTGTAATATGTATTTGTGAGAATGCGTCTCCGCGAGAAGAGATCCGCAGAATTTCTTCGGTTCCGTAGAATTGCTATTTACTATTGACGTCTCAAAATCGACACTGTTTTATTCGACGGCAACGCGACGAAATTCAAACGAGACGATCGCGCGAGTGTTTTTTGACTCGACCGCGACGCGATTGATCGGACATACGTGCTGCGATCTTTTGTCCAATTTACCGGCGTGAATCGACGCGAATCGACGCGATGCAAATATAAGGAGACATCGTAGACAATGTTAGTTCCTCGTTTCGTAAAGGCCGTCCTCCTCGGGAGGTCTTTGCTTGCTGATATTGGTTTTCGTCTCGCGCGCCGCGAGAGTCGCTTGGTCTCTAAACTTACGAACTGTCCGCAAACAGTTAGCTAGAGTTATTCGTAATTTACGGTTGTCGTAAGAGCGTAAAGGTGATCGATTATTGTTAACCGCGAATACCCCGAATCGGCAGTAGCGCGCGACGTTGTGCACAAAGATAAAGTAACACGTATCGCTCCAAGTCGCGTCGCGGCTTTCGCCCATGTAATTAACTAATTAGATGATCTCTAAACGATTAGGCACAAGCGCGGGCGCGAGCACAGCTATACCGATGTTAGGTTTAGCACATAAAATTAACATTATATGAAGCTAACTTTGAGATTCATGTATAAATATGAATTTCAAAGTCGATTTTATACCGTGTAACTATTTAATTGGAATATTTTATACAAAAGGAACAAAAAGTGCCGGTTTTAATTATCACCAATTCAAAAAGTCCACAAAATTCTTGCGCGCGTTTTGAGAATATTTATATAGGAAAAACTACGCGTTATTAATTTTTTAATAATAATCCACGAAACCACGAGTGAACAACGAACGTACATTGCTCACATATTTATTCATCTGTCTTTTTGTAAAAATGTAAATATATTTATAGGTTAATATAATTAACTTATTAATAATTAAATTTTAAGCAAACCAACCGGTTTGTAAAGTAGATTAAGATTTACATACATCGTAAATTATTTTTATAACATGAACCTCTATCAAACATTCTCTCTTCTCTTTAACAAAATTCTTTAAAAAATCTATATACAATTTTACTTTCACGAAATATAGACACGAAGGTACTTATTATTCCTTTTCTATAGAAAATGTCCAATTATAATAATAGTCTCGATATTAATTCTGTAAAATTTGAAACTGCATTGTTATCCAGATTTTCGTGGAATACCACTAAATGCGTTTCCTTGCGTAATGTACCGTTGAATAAATTATAAGCCTTCTCTCTTAAAACAAGAGACTGCTCGTTACATTCGTGCATTGTCGCATCCATCTATATTCTGTACTCGTACTCGCTCGATTTGCAAAAACGATTTGTAAATGTAGAAACGATTCGTAGTAAAATAAATTATTGTATATACGTAGAATAACGATATAAATACGAGTGGTTTTTTTTTCTAATTCTTACCCTCTATATTGTACCCTTTTCCGTTATTGGCGAAGAGTTGCTGATTTGTATCTTTCATGACTGGAGTAAATTTATAAATTTTAATCTCTTTAATGAATTTCATAGGTGTATGTGTGTATTCTCAAGATAATTTCCTTAAGTTGCTTATCTATACATTAATTTCGTTCTCATATACTTTACACGGGAACCGTTTTTCTTACAGCACAATGGATTTTTCAAGTCGACTAAAACTAAAAGAAAAATTTCCCCTAGTGTAAAATGTGACGGTTTCGGCTTGAAATGATTCAGTTGGAAGTAACATTGTTATATTACTCCGATTACTCGTTATACTTGAAATATGTTACCGATATAAGTCATGTTTGGTGGGCGCTCGCCGGGAACACATGGACGAAGAGGCGTGTGTTTGTCAATTAAGTGGAAAAACGTGTTGATTTCACGCATGGCTCGGGATTACGGGCACAATGGAGATTGTTTAAAAGCGCTTTGTTGTCGGGAATGGGAAGCGCGGACCACCATGCCGCGTCGAACCGTGGCCGCGACCCATCCCGACTTTTTTTCTTTAACGTACCGGTTGCCTTTCTGCGCTCTCTTTCCATGGGAGTCCGTGTAGCGTGCGTAATAAAAAGGATTATCCGTAATTTCTGCCTCTAATGGAGACGGGGAAGATTTAATAAGGACTACCTCAGCGAGTCACGCTCGTTGGTGGGTCTCGTTGCGTTCTGCGATACATCTAACATAAAAAGAGTAAGACAGAAAATGCGAAGGAGTATAATAATTTTTGTATCGTGTAAATCTGTAAATGATCACTAAATATTATAAAAGCTAGAAACTATAAATGTTTTACATACCTATATTTATGCATGTGTTTTGTGCGTACGTCTTTCGGATAAATTCAATTAAATAAAATTTGAAAACTTTTATCAAAGAAGATTTGCAACAAACACTGATTTAATTTAAATAAAGGATGATACATGATATATCATTCTTTGAATATAAATAATATAATATAAAGAATGATATAAATAAATCACACACATTTATCAATGTGTGTGATATTATTGTATATGCTCGCTGTTTCCTATATTCTTTTGAGCCCACAAATATCTAATAAGCTTAAATTATTCTAGAAAGACTATTAAATAATTAATTTAGATCAAATTGCAACGAAACTGATCAGAAAAAGAGTCGGCTATCCCGATTCCAGAATAACCAGACTGAAAGCAAAATAAGTCGATATCGAAAATGTACGATTATACGAGAGATCGCGACCGGCAACCGTTATGAGCGGCTAAATAATGGAGACACGATAGAGCATCATTATTACTTTTCCTTTGAGAACGATTTATGGACAAAGCAGTCGCGATAGTATTCAACAGCGGCGCATCGACCTCGGTATGATCAATCGTTACGCTCTACAAGTACGCGAATTGATTATCGTTAATAAAGCTCGTTAAAGGTAGTGCTCGGCAAATAAGTCGGTAGGTATAGCCCCTCGTCTATAGAGGTCACCTGAACTAGCGGTAGTTCGGTTTACGTCTTTACAACTCTAGCAGTTCGATATTTAGCGTGTACTAACCATCATGTACACGTCGTAAAATATTTAGATGAAAACTTTGCGCGATGCAGCGATGGTGTGAACAATACCTATTTCTTCAACTTGCATGCTCTTTTCAGGCAAGATTAAAGTAACTTACAATTAGAAATATAAAATTATAATAGCTAGGATGAGACGAATTTAAATCAAAACTTAAAAGAAATCAGAGTCAAAAAATTAAACCAGTTCTTTCAAAGCAATTCTTGGACATTATTTCTCTCAAACATTTTTGTTAAAGGAACAATAGATATAATTCTTGTTAAAGTTGTAGATAATAAATATATCTGCATAATTTTGTGCTTGCTTCACTTATTCATATAGATAAATATATGCTAGATAAATTAAAAAAAAGAGTACGCGAATTTTCAAAAATAAAAAAAAATTAATGCTGAAAATCAGTCAATTACCCGATTAGATTAGTAGTAGATTGTGAATGCGCGTTTGCGCTCGCGTCATTATTTGTGCCATTATAACGCGCTCCAAAAGCAAGGACTTAACAAGGCTTCGAGTAAATTCATACGAAGAAAAACAACGAAGCCAAACAGCGACGTACGTGCCGACCACGAGATGGAAAGAGACAATCGGAATTACCTTTCTCTACCTTTAGTCTTCTCGTTCCCTTCGCTCTTTTTCACTTCTTACTCTCCTCCTATACCTTGCAATCTGTTCGTCTTTTATTGAAAGCAACGTGGCCCTGCTACGTGATTCGGTGATAATACTCGATACAATACACTGTGCAAATCGACGAAACCTACTCGTTACTAGGCAAACATTCCGGTTAGGAAGCAGAGTAAAGGCTACCCCAAACAACGCGACTCGTAGTCCTAGTGATATGGCCTTTGAGTTAACGCTTATCTCACAGATGAAACTGGTACAGCAGACTGCACTTGATATTGTTACCCCAAATAGTTAATGATACAAAAGGTTTGCGGGGATCAATCCGGTATCAATATATGTCCTTAAATGTAATACCAGTCCTGTGACACAATCACAAAAAAAAAAGTAATTTTATGTGTAAAAGTAAATAAAAAATATAAAGTAAAACCTTTTAATCTTTTAAGTGAGACTTCTTCTTTTTTAAGAAAAGCGATTTTGAAAATTGTGAATTAGTAATATTTTCGCGCTTATTTCAATTTAAATAATTTTCGACAGTCCTGTATATGGGTACGGGTACATCGCCATATTTCAACATTTAAATAAACTGTAACCTATAATTAGTTAGTTTAACAAGCTATTTAAACACGAATCTACCGGTGAGCTAAATATAGCCCTGAGTACATCTGATATTGACCTCAAGATTATTTGATATCGTTTGAAACAGCCTTAAACTGCTGCGTGCCGAAATTCTATGCCCGACGTACATGTATATGTCGGACCTCGGATCCGCATTGTACGCGAAGAGTTCGTTGCGCTTTCGCGTTTGCGAGTAAACAAAAGGCGCAACGGAAGCGACGGAAACCTCAAATGATTTGACGGAGAAGGAGAATTCGGTTAATTTCGCCGCGGCACGCCACGGCCAACCTCTCGATCTTTTGTAGCGTAACGCGAGTATCCTCGCGAGTACATTCTCTCGCGGGGCCGGGTCCGGGTTTCTTCCACTTGGAACTCACGAGAAAACTTCCCTCGTAAAACACGACAACTAATGTTTAATTCTATTCTGTACAGATTTGATTCGACCCATTTTTATATTTCAAGTATAATCATTTGAATGTCTTTCTTAAAATTTTTACCTTTACATTTTTCTTAATTATTTACCATTTCTCTAAAGATATAGTATACATAAAGAGAGCATGATAAAGAGAGAAGCGAATGTGTTTAATTTTTTCAATGACAAGTATGACAAGTGATAAATAATTTGAAGCAAAGTTAATACGTACAATTGTGAATGTCGCATATAAAAAAATTTATAAAACTCACAATTTAATTTTTAGGGAAAAAAGTCACATAAATAGATCTATAGATCTGAAAAATTTCGGTATATACTTATCATTAGTCAACGTGACATTTTAAATAGTAACTTTGTATTGTATTATACGTAAATCCTTGAATGTTAATATCACACAGCTCGAGGCTCGAATAGGTAAGCGACCACCACGTCGTTCGATGCGATAAAATTGGCTTCCGGAGCCGTCTCGTTTGACGGTTCCCCGTCAGAGAAACGGTTTGCCGAAGTCAACGTCTAGGAAATGTGTAGGAAACAGCGAGGAGAGCTCCCGCTGCGGGGTTTTCGGTGAGATGTGCATCGAGGATCGAGGATTGAGGATCGAGGATCGAGGCGTCGGGCGAGGAAGCCGCCTCTAGGCCGCGCTTCGGCCAGAAAGATGTGCGAGAGAGCCTCGGAGGTAGAAGACAAAGATGAAAAGATGAAAGGCATCCCGCCTTCAGCCACCGCCAGCGCGGCGCGTTGCTTCTGCCGCCTTCTTCGTTGCTGCTTCTCGCGCTCGCGCGGTGTCTGGTCATCAACACCTGAATCCCAAGAGCATTTCTCCTCTCTCGGTCCCTCGCGCGCTATCCTCTCTCCTTCTCCCTCCCTCCCCCCCTCTCTCTCTCTCCTCCTCTCTTCTCTCTCTCTCGTTCTTTCGCTCCCTCTTTCTCCGTGCCTCTCTTTGTTCCTCGGCCGCGTTCGCGCCCATTTCGTTCCCTCGGCCGCCGCGCCGCCGCGTCTAGCCTTAAGGTACTCCAACTCCAGGGCCAGTTTCTCTCTACCTCTATTCGGGCCTCCTTCGCCCCCTCGACACCCTCGAAACGTTCCATCTCTCACGTACACACAGACACACCTACGTATCCGATGTACACACGCACGCCCCGCTCTCCCTTCCTCGCATTTTCTCTCTCTCTTTCTCTTTCTTTCTGTAACTAACGCGGCGTAATCTAGGCCCGACTGATGGATGGAATTCCTCACCGAGAGGTGCCTCCGCCGCAAAATCGAACCAGAAAAAATTGCCGACGGACCGAATGCTTTAACGCCGCTTTTGTTGTCCGCTCCGCTCCGCGCCGCGTTCCGATCCGAGCTAAAAGGGCTAACCGCTTCGGCGCTCGCGGCCAAATTTCGCGACGAATTCGAAACGGTGCGATGCGGTGCGGTGTAAAGGGGGAACAGGTGAGAGATCGTGGTAAAAGTCGAAGTAAAAATCGATACCGAGCCGTGCGTCGCCCCGCGTTTCGATGAAAACTACGATGAAGAAAGACACCCGTTGAACGGTAACGTTGAAGAAGTAATGGCTTTTTAGACACACGCATATATTCGGGGATGCGCGAGTATATGCGTGTGTGCGTGTGTATGTATGCGAGCGTGCAGCCGAAGCGAACGCGCCCGAAGGCACACCTGTGACCATGCAGAGCCACGCTGTCTGGAAGTCTCTCGGTCGCCCATTCTC